CCTTTATTTCCCCTATCATTCTGCTCTGAAATTTATGAAACTTCAGTTTCATTCTGTAAAATTAGGCATCTTATAAAAACATTAAAAGTACTGAATTTGTCCAAGCCTCAGTTTCATCATCTGTAATACTGACACCTACATCTCACAGGGCTATTAAAAGATTCAGTGAAGTTCTGTCAAAGTGTTTAGCACAATGGATATGCTATTATTTCTCATAATTCATAAATGTTGTTAGATCAGTTTTCCTGCCACACAGAGCACTTCTGGTGTGCCACCCATAGGTGGATCCTAGAAAAATACCAACACAGTGAAAGACAATAGATTTAATAGGACCAATAACAATTTCTTCTAAACTTTTCTTTCAGTGTACAAAAGTACTTTTTATTTAAAGAATTCACCATTCTCTAATGAGAAAGACAGTAGAAAGACTTGATAAACACCATAGAGTAGGAGAAAAATAGATTATATGTATAAAAGGAAGCCCAATCTCGGGAAAACCAAAACTCACCTTTCCTTTGTGTTTGGGACTTGTCTGGCCTACAAGTGAAGCATGATAAATGAGACCATACTTAGGGGTATCCCGTCTAGACTTGAGGGCTCTGAAAAGTGCCTTTTCTGCTCCAAGAATCTGAACTGTAGAAGCTGCATGCTTGGCCAAATTCAAAAGAGAACCTACAAAAGAAAAAAAGTAGTTACAAAGACTCCACTTTCAAGTATTTGAAGGTTCCATGTAATAAACACAAAATCTATAATATATAATTATAGCCACTGTTATAAATAAAAATCTCATATAATACAGGATTCTACAGTCCAAAATTTCCTAAAAATCAGGATGCTTCATTTGTGATTCTTTCATCAGCATAAGCAGAGGTTTGTGCTGTATGTCTATGACAAACTGAAGGCAGAGGTTTGTGCTGTATGTCTATGACAAACTGAAGGCTAAGGTTTTTAGTTCATTATACTTGTTTGCCTGAGAGATGGTACTCTTCTATATTCCATTAACATACCACAGAAGTGATAAAACACATGAACATATGCATTCACACACACACACAC